AAAGACGCGGCTCTAGTTGATGGTGATTGTTCTGTCTCTACAGATTTGGTAAGTGAGCGACCAGTGCTCTTTGTTTATTCAGTTCGTATTTTATTCGTATCAAACAAACTATTGCACCGAGTGTAAACAAGTTAGCACTAACAGTTACAATTAAACTATAACCTCGTGTTGGATTTTGTGACCGGAATAACACGCGCGGCTTTCTGACGCTACCTGCCGTGTGCATCTAAGTTTCCGGGAAATGCTGAGTTTTTTTTTCTCTCATTCGCCGTGCGGTATCAAACATTGCATGAAAAATACACGCTTAGAGCAGTTCCTCGAATCAAATATCTCGTTTGTCGGGAGGGACATGAATGAATTCCCTGAATGAAAGAGCCAAACTGCAGTTAAAGTCCACCATTTAATAATTTGGCAAATAATTCGACTACAGATGTCCATGTAAACACAGTCACTTTATCCGCTGTGGTTGTGTGTTTTGATTCTGTAATTCAGCGCGCCCAAATAGACACTCCTACACCAAGCCTCTTTTCTTCCTCCGACACTCCCCCCTAAACAGAGCTGGACACGCCCACTTTTCTGACTTTTTCCAAAGTAGAGGTGTGAAAACACCCTGCTGAAACGAGGGGGTTTCATGGCCCTTTAAAGTAGGGGTGTCAAACTCAGTTCCTGGAGGGCCGCAGTCCTGCATAGTTTAGTTCCAATGATGCTCCGGCATACTTACCTGTACGTTTCAAACAAGCCTGAAGGACTCAATTAGTTTGATCAGGTGTGTTTATTTCAGTTAGAACTAAACGGTGCTGAGCTGTGTTTGACACCCCTGCCTTTAAGAGACTTTGGGTATTTCCATTGCCTGAGTACAGCTTTTTCTGTGCATGTTGGTCCAGTGAAGAGCTTAGAAATGAACATTTCTATTCGCCATTTGACGTAATCTCAACATAAATATGAAGATAGGGTGGGACAGCCACGCTCAGCCAATAGCATTTCGTTTTATCACAGCTCAGCCATTGAGAGCGATTGAGATCAAGTGCATCAAATGAAAAGCAAATGAGAAGAGTCTTGAAGGGGGTGGGGCATGTCAGTCACTAGAGAGCATTTGATTGGTCGAGTTATTTGTTTATTTACTTTTTAATTCTGCATTAGTAAATTACAATTACAGGGAAAACAAGCATCAACTATAAATATATAGTTAAAGTCAGAATTATTATCTATAATAATATTATCTATATTATTATATAATAATTATTATACCTGACAGTATGTGAGGTAACATATTTTCTTCTGGAGAAACTCTTATTTGTTTATTTCAGCTAGAATGAAAGCAGTTTTTAATTTTTAAAAGCCATTTTAAGAACAAAATCATTAGCCCCTTTAAGCTATATATCTTTTACATAGTCTACCGTTATACAATAACTTGCCTAATTACCCTAACCTGCCTAATTAACCTAGTTAAGCCTTTAAATGTCACTTTAAGCTGTATAGAAGTGTCTTGAAGAATATCTAGTCAAATATTATTTACAGTCATCATGACAAAGATAAAATAAATCAGTTATTAGAGATGAGTTATTAAAACTATTATGATTAGAAAAAAATCTTCCCTCCGTTAAACAGAAATTGGGGAAAACAATAAACAGGGGGGCTAATAATTCTGACCTTGACTGTACATGAGTGACATGTCTTGGGAACTCTATAGTCTTTGATACAGCATTTATGTATGCAAGTAAAACATTTAAGCTGCGCACAGACAGAGACCTTTATAGTCCTCTGTTACAGCTGGAAATGTTTGAATCAAATGGCAAAAAAGCAAGTATTGTGCGGTCATCCTAAGTGCTCTTTAATTGGCTTATTAAACTCCCATTCTCATCTCCGTCTCGCCCATCTATGACACACACACACACACACACACACACACACTCATGGGAATATCCTGAAATGTGGTAAGCGATTAGACAGAGTGACTTCATTCATTAAGCTTGTCTTCCTGAAGATCATTAAACTGCTGAGGAGAAACTACAAGACAAGGAGGCCACAGATATGTGGAGGAAATATTCAAAACATTTTTGCATGAAAAATGACAAAAAATCATAAATAAATACTAAAATATTTGAAATGACTATATATTATATATTGAAATATTTATAAATATAAAACACAATAACTCATTTAAAACAACTATGCATTATGTAGATACTGCTAAAATACACTGATTATTATGAACGTTTTTGCAAACAGTTATATTATTTTGCCCTCTCCTAAACTATTTTAATTTAATAAAAAAATGTAAATTGTAAAACACAAGTCAAAATATTAAATAATACTACAATATCAAACAACAGCAGCAACAATAATAATAATAAAAATAATAATAATAATAAAAAAAATAATGAGGGTGACGCGGTGGTGCAGTAGGTAGTGCTGTCGCCTTACAGCAAGAAGGTCGCTGGTTCGAGCCTTGGCTAGGTCAGTTGCCATTTCTGTGTGGAGTTTGTATGTTCTCCCCGCGTTCGTGTGGGTTTCCTCTGGGTGCTCCGGTTTCCCCCACAAGTCCAAAGACATGCAATACAGGTGAACTGGGTAGGCTAAAATTGGCAGTATGTGTGTGAATGAGTGTGTATGGATGCTTCCCAGTGATGGGTTGCGGCTGGAAGGGCATCCGCTGCGTAAAACTTATGCTGGACAAGTTTGAAATTCATTCCACTGTGGCCATCCCAGATTAATAAAGGGACTAAGCTGAAAAGAATATTAATGAATAATAGTTATACTTATTATTATTTACTTATTATTATTATTGTTGTTGTAATATATATATATATATATATAT